CCCCCCCCCCCAAAAAAAAAAAAAAAACCTAAACCCTAAACCCCTAAAACCCTAAACCCCTAAACCCTAAACCCCTAAAGCCCTAAACTCCTAAACCCCTAAACCCAAAAGAAAGCGCCGCTGCGAGCGCAGGATCCCGCCTTCCGGCACCTCGACCTCCACTTCCTGCAGAAGCGCTGGACTGGGTTTAGGGTTTAGTGTCTAGGGTCTATAAGGGTCTAGGGTTTAGGGTCTATAGGGTTTAGGGTTTAGGGCTTGCTTCAGGGAAAGTCAAGGAGGGGGTAGAAGTTTAGGGTTTAGGGTTAAGATCTTGAGAGGGGACCATAGACAAATCCCATGGCTATTTTTCGGAGGGGGGATCCACTCCAGAATAGGGGGTGATTCGGCTTGGAAGGTCTATGGGTCTATGGATCACGCTGCGGGGCTCAGAGTTTAAAGTTCAGGGCGCCTCTCACGATTGCACCAGCCGGGTTTGGGCTGGAGGCTTGTGGTAGGCTTCGAGATTCAGGTTTGGGCTGGGGGTTCCGGGGCTCTTGCGAATAATGGGGCACCCGAAACGATCAGCAGAATCATCGCATCTTGAGACCCCCGTGAGGAACCAGTCCGTCCGATGGTATGGAGGGTATGACATCTGCAAGGACCCTTCACTGCAATACCAAGAGAACCTCATTGTCTAGGAGTTTAGGGTTTAGGGGACCCCCCTAAAGGAACACAAATCGCCGCTTTTCACCGAGCAAGCTGACACCAATGGTGCAGTTTCGGGGCCTGGGCGAAGGCTTAAAATTGTTTATTCAGATTTAGGGTTTAGGGTTTAGGGCTTAGGGCTTAGGGTTCAGGGTTTAGGGGTTAGGGTTGAGGGGTTAGGGTTTAGTTAGCTGTGTAAGGCTTCGTGCTGCCAATAAGAGGTTTCTGCAAAAAGGGCAAGAATGGGTCCCTGTCTGGGCGCGCCTGCGTTAAGGATCCTACCTGTAGCCTCCATTATGGTTCCTTTTTTGGTTTAACCAATTAAAATTACATATTAAGGATTACATAAGGTATCCCCAAAAAGGAACTACAATGGAGACTATACGTAATTACTGTTCAGAGTGAACAGGTAAAGGTTCCTAGCCAACATATTCTGGAACACACAGAGATGATTCTCGGTAATGTAGGGGCCGTAATAATTAGAATAGGGTTTTGGGGGGTTCCTTATTATAGCTATAGTAGAAAATACCCCCAAAACCCTATTCTAATCATTAAGGCCCCGATATTATCCTTCTTTTGCAGCAGGCCTTCTCGGTACCCTTAGCCCTGTATTGACGGTGTCGGGAGGATGGCAACCGTCCGGATAAGCACAACCTGCCCTAATCACGGGACCAGTCCATCGATGCTAGCTGCTAGTCGGTATAACGAAAACACGGACAATGACATAACAAGGCAAATAAAATACCTAACCAAAGAGTTAGCACTGACACTCTCCGAAGGTATTTTCATTACAAGGATAAACTACATTACTGAATCCAGAATCGGTGCCTGGAGCGGGTTTTCAGAAGTGCAGAGAACCCGCGCCCCGGACTTGCAACTTCCTTGGCCGTCTTGTCAAATGCCCCGGTTCTCAGATCGTGCTTGGGCAGAAGGGCGGGGCCAAGTTCGCTGTGGAATAGTTGCCACTCGATCCGGAACCCTTTTCGTAGAATTCCCGGGCTTTCGCAGAGTCCCGAAAAACGCCGAGGCCGTATTTGTACATGCACGCAAGGCTGAGCGCAGCTCCATGGCTGCCCCTGGCCCAGCCCATCTTATACAGCTCCTTGGCCTTGCTGTAGTCCTGCATCTAAGGTAACGTAAAGGTTAAACAAGTTCCGGGTTGGGCTTTGGGTCCATCTCATAGAAATCTTTGGCCTTTTGAAAGTCCTGCGGCACCCCGAGGCCATCGCGGTACAAGTGTCCAAGGCTTTCGGGGCACAACATGTCGCCTCTTGCTTTGCCCAGCTCGTAAAGTTCCTTGGCCTTGCGAAAATCTTGGGTTAAACCTCGCCCATACTGGTACATGTTACCAAGCTCAAGTGCAGCTCTGGTCGAGCCCATCTCGACGGCTCTCTCATAAGCGTCTTTGGCCTTGCGGAAATCTTGGTCCACCCCCAGGCCATCCTCGTACATGTGTCCAAGATGAGATGCAGCTTCAGCAGAACCCCTTGAGATGGCCGTCTCAAAGAATTCTTTGGCCTTTACGAAATCCTGGGTCACCCCATCGCCATGGAGGTACATGAAGCCAAGGCTGTCGGCGCAATACATGTCGCCTCCTGCATTACCCAGCTCGTAAAGTTCTTTGGCCTTCTGCAAGTCTTGGGCTACACCTTGCCCATACTGGTACATGTTACCGAGCCAATTTGCCGCTGCAGTGTCGCCCCTATCAATGGCCAGCTGATACAGAATTTTCGCGTTTTGGGAATCCCGGGCCAGTCCCAAGCCATCGCGATACATCGTTGCAAGCATGGCAGCGGCAAGGTCGTCGCCCCTTGCGTAACCCCTCTGATACAGATCTCTGGCCTTGTCGTAGTCTTGAACTACACCTGGTAGTCTCAGACAGTGAAGCACCGTAAACTGTAAACCATAGCCTTCCTGAGAAAAGGATACTAATTAATGCAGAAAGGTACCTAGCAAAAGGACCCCAAGCTAAAGCACCACCAAATTGGGGAAAACCCCACCTCGCCCCTGCTGGTACATGATGCCAAGGCTGGTGAAGGCTCTGGGGTTGCCTTTCGCCATACTCCGCTCAAAAAGGCCCCGTGCCTCATGCAAGTCGCGAGCGACCCCGAGGCCATCAAAGTACATGACCCCCAGGTTGTTGAGGAACAAAGGGCCATCGGGATCGAGGAGCGCCTGTGACTGGCTGACTGCTTGCGCAAGGTTCTCTTTGGCGCAATGACCGAAACGCCACGTGGTGGTTTCCCGAAACTTCTCTGCAGGCACAGGGGACAGCAGGCGTGCCCTTTCGTACATGACGGAAGTCGCTGCAATCATGTCACCCTCTGTCATGCCGGGATGTGTGTAAAGAATGCGCATCTGCAGCCCGTCGCGGAAAGCTTGAACAGCGGCTTTCAGCTCGCCTCTGTAGAAGACAGTGTCGAAAAGAACTTTGTAGGACCGTCCTTGCTGTTTGTGATAGTTGATCGCGACGATGACTTCTTGGGACCTCGCAGCCCAAGTGCTGGCAAACTGCCGGGATGCGCCCACCCAGAAGGCTTTGACCTGCACGGCAAGTTTCAAAGGCATAACTGCGAAAGGGAAGATTGTGGTGGAGAAAACGAGTTGCTGGATGCGTTGAAGGTCGTTCCTGTCGACATTTGGGCTTTGCAAATCCCCGAACCCTCAACCCCGAAATGACTTATACCTCTTAATGAGCACTGCTCGCCTTCGGCAAGCTGCAGGACTTCAGGGTATTCACTCCGGGAGCATTCAGGAGCTGCCCGAGCCGGGTGTCCGGATCCTCCTCTCCGAGAAACACAGAGAAAAGCAGAATAGTTGGTGTTTAGGGTTTAGGGTTTTGGGTTTAGGGTTTAGGGCTAGAACACAAAGAAAAGCAGAATAGTTGGTGTTTAGGGTTTAGGGGTTTAGGGTTTAGGGTTAGAAACACAGAAAAAGCAGAATAGTTGGTGTTTTGCTCTACCTTATGTCATTATTGCACAGGGACTGTAAGAGAACACACTCTGAGCCTTAGCTATTGTCGTTTAGACTCCCATCATGAAGCACTGTCCTGGCTTTGCAAGACGCAGCCGCCCTTTTCTCGCAATGGTCGAAGGACGTCTTCACGCTCTTCATCTTGATAGCCACTCCACAACAAGAGGTGCGTCTTCTCCTAACGTGTGTTCCAAAACAAGAAGGACAGGCTTCGCTCAGAACGGCCCCTAAACCCTGCGATGAAAAGCGACTGAGACGAGGTGCGCTGCCGCACGACAGCAAGCTCTGGCTCCAGACCTCGTAGTCTCCATCGTTGACAACGGCTTCCGCCTGCAAGGAGCGGGGCGCATCGAAGTATCCCTCTGGTCCTTCATATAGCTGCTGATCTACAGAACAAAGATGAAAAAAGGCCAGCTGCGAGGTCCTAGGCCCTAGGCATATCTTCGAGGTTTGATGTTCACCGACCTCGGCGTGGCAGCCTCCAGCAGAGACCGTCGCACCATTTCGCTGGTCCTAGCTTGCAAGATCCCTCTACCCATAGGCCCCTAAGTAGTTCCTTTTTTGGGATTACCTTATAGGATTCTAAATATAAACCATAAAGAGGAACTACTTAGGGCCCTTATGGGTAGCTCTAGCCTACGGTTTTTCTTGGGTGAGGCTGAATGGTGCAGAGATCTCAGGGCATGCAAAAATCATGACTTCGGATCGCCGGGTCTAGGGTCCATTAACGAGGATTCCAGGATTTAAAGAGCTTTAGCAATAAGGTTTAGGAGCCTTTTTTTGTGGGGGGACCCAACCAAAATTCAATTGAGCGCCTTTTTCCGGAAACCCAAAACCCCTGTAAGCCCCGTCCTCTTCGCAACTCTCCTGTATTCCACTCTTGAGCATTCGAAGCTCTTCTTCGCAACCTCAGAGTCGACCCTTAGGGTTTAGGGTTCAGGGCTTTCAGGGTTTAGGGTTTTTTTGGGGGTTTCGGGGTCAGGGCTTCTAAGGGTTCAGGAGGGAGCCCTTAAATACAGGAATCCGGGATTGAGAGACAGCAAGGACAAGAGATGAAGACCACGAGACAGGGAACGAGTCTGAGAGAGAAAGAGACGGAAACACTCAGGCAAAAGCAGAGACAGAGAGAGAGAGAGAGAGAATCCTCCACCCTAAACCTTAGCCCCGAGAGAGACAGAGAGGGAGAGAGAGAGTGAGCCGGGGAGGAAGGGAACAGAGCCTGAGAGCAGTATGCGTTAGGAATGCAGTGCCAGGAAGCGCAAGGATTCGGAAGCATCACCTGCTTCCAAGAATAGGCTTCGAGATTCCTTCTCGGCAAGACCTGGGTTGACAGCTCCAAACCCTAAAATCAAAAACCCTACCCCGGAAGCCCTCGAAGCCCGAGCCTCAATAAGGGCCTCTAAACTGCTAAAATAGCCGAAATGCTCAAAACAACCGAACTGGTAAGTAGAGCAAGGTTGTACATAAGAAAGGCTACGAGTAGTGGCCTCAGCGCCATGAAGGCCCTCTCGGGCTCCGCCCCCGATGCAAAGCGGACATGGTGAAATGATGGATAGAGATGAGCACTCAACCCCAGCAGGTTCAGCAAAAGAGGACCCCTACTCTAAAGCCTGAAACCTTACATCCAACACACGTGGAACTCTGTAGACCCGAGTCCCTTGGAACATCGATCGATTCTGCGCCACCTCTTCGCGTGAGGATGGTGCGGTCGCTGCTCACCAACAGCACCGATGTGAAGACCACGAATACGCTCATGGTGTCGGACATTGCCAAACGCATACATGGATCATCTATCTTGCAAACAGTACGCTTGAGGCTGAAGCGCTTTCGACAAGGTCGCCGGAGTCAGGAGACTCAGCTCCTACAATGAGGACCTACAGAGAAGCAGCCGAGAACAAAATGCGAGCACCACTGCCCAGCGTATGACGGAAGTGTGTGGGCTCAGCGCCTGCGCCAGAGGCATTGTCTGGCGAAGGGCCCCTGCTGCAGCAGCATACATCACCTCTTGCGGGACTACCGGAACAAGAGTAGGAGAAGTACACCCCGAACCATGCGTCCGACATCCTGAAAAACAGAATTCCAAACCCCAAATCTCAACACCATTAAACATGAGCAGCCCTGAACCCCAAGACATGCATTGGAGCGATTAGTTCAGGACCGCAGCAGACAGGGCAAGCGGCTTTCACTGACATGCTCTCCAGGACTCCACGGTTCAAACCAAGAAACTGCAGGCTTTAGGGTTTCATCTAAGCCCCGAAAACACCAACCCCAGCCCATCGGTCGCTAACCATCCGGAACCTGTCTGTAATTGCTGTACTTGATAAGGATATGCCTCCAAGCATTGTGAGTCAACGGGGGTTTGGGGTTTAGAAACCCTAAACCCCTATGATCCCCGAACCCGCAGGGGTTCGCAAAGGCGTTCTCGCAACCCCCTGTAAACACCCTGACAACCCTAAACCCTAAACCCGAAACCCTTAAACCCCTAAACCCCTCGATGAACCAAGAACGCCTGCAGAAAGCGCAAAAAGTCTTCGGAGGCTGTCAGGGCAGACCTTGAGAGTCACGTGCTGTCGACTCAAAGCTCGCAGGGTTTAGGGTGTACTGATATTAAGACAATGATCATAACAAGACCACTTGTAGTAATTTCATGACATTAACGATAATAGCAAAATAAGCTGATTCTAGTCATCGTGTTTTACAAAGATTTTTCACGTTTTTCCTTATTACAATAGCAAAAGCGATGACAACAACAACAGCAACAGCAGAAACAAGACAAACAGCTATGTTAAGAATAGGAGCAGTAATATCAGTTAAGATCAGGAAGCATAGTCACAATAATACGAATAGCTAATAATAGAAGCATAAGAACGACAACATCATTTTTATTGTTGCCAAAAAAGTTATTCCTTTTATGGACAAACATGTAATAGCAATAAAAGCCACAGTAACAGCAGCAGCAATAGTACTATTCACTATTCATAGTTAGAAATGACCAAGCATGGTTCCAACGTGTGTAATTGTTCGTGATTATTTCTCAGCGCATGCCAGCGAATTTGACATGGAGCTTCAGCCACAACCTTCCCAAAAGCCATCAAGCCCGACGAGGCGTGCGTCTACAAGCCTGAAACACGGCGGATCTGAAAGACGGACCTTCGGAAGACGTCCATACGCGGATCGAACCCAGATGTGTACACGTGTGCATACGTATGGCAAATCTGAACAAAGATGTGCAAAGAAAATATATATATGTATACACATCGAAAGATTCATACGCACATATATATACATACATATATATATGTGTATCTGTATATGCGCGTATATGGACATGAGTTTGAAAATTTCATGACCTGAAGGGAAGCAGCAGAAAACTTGATTGCACACGCTCTGTGAGAACGTTGATGCGGAGACAGGGTTGCAACACTGCGATCGCTTTTCTTGTACGACTAGATGACAGGCACCCATAACTAGGGCTGAAGGTTGCGAGGGTGTTGGGCTTGGGGATTAGGGCTCTGATAAGGTCCCTTCACTCAAGGGGAGTCAACACTCTCAAGCGCGCTACTGTCCGAAATGCCTGTGCCCGGTTGCACCAAAGATGTTAACTACCAAACTGAGGGCCCAATTGTTAGAAGATGGTGTTGGTGTGCGTTACAGAATAAGCTATCGTCTATCGTACAAGTCTAGTATACTTGCATTACACCAATCAGGTTAACCTCAGACAAAGTCTATGCAGTAAGCCCGACAGCCTAAGCCCCAAGACACACCAGAAGTGACAATGGAGGACTGACGCCCGAACTCTTGAAACCGCGAATCCTAAATCCTAAACCCATCAAGGCCCAAATTCTACATCCTGTAACCCTATAAACCACAAATCCCGAACCTACTCTGATCCGCCTAGAACTCCAAAATCTACATCCCAGTATGATATGGTCTGGTATGGTAAACCCCAATACCGCCGTCCCTATAAACCTTAGCACCCTAAACCCTGAACAGAAATCCCTACTTCAGGGGCCTAAATGATTACCAATACTCTTTTGCGGTTCCTTGGTATGATTATTGTTTACTTTCGCCCAAAACCTCTAAGGCCCCAACATTACGGCTCATATAGTACATACTTACTTAGGCTTAAAGTAGGCCCTCTGTGGAGATACTGCTTGGGCACATGGGCCCTCACAGACCTGAATCCGAGACCTTTTCTTGCATCAGGACGTGTGCAATCGCCTGGGTGTCTGAGCTTACGGAGGTTCAGCTCCCCCTATAGTCTCCATTGTTGTTCCTTTTGGGGGTTACCTTTTGGGATCCTTAATATAGAATTGGTTAAACCAAAAAAGGAACTACAATGGAGACTACAGGTCATGACTGCACTTCCATACCAAATATCCATCAGCAGCTTGACTGGACACCAACAGTTGGTAACACAGATGACTTGCCAACATAGCCATAAGACCTAGGAGCGACTCCAGACACTCCCTATTCAGCTCAGCCCCAAGATCATACTGCATGATGCCGTCCTCAGCATCCAAGAAAAAACGCTTATAATTGATGAACGCCTCGGGAACACAATATCGCATGATGTATACTGTTCTAAGCCAAGGAATTTCATGGTTCAGAGGCCGATCCCCGAAGTGGCACCACAGAAGCTGTGAGGCAGCAATTCCCTACCCCCTGAACCCTAAACCTAGACCCTCAACCCTGAACCCTAAACCCTAGACCCTCAACCCTGAATCCGGGTCTCCGGCATGAAAGCGCGGAAGTCGGCGACTCTCAGTTGGCGAAAGCCTCAGGGGGAGAACGGACAAATCACAGGAGGGCTTCCGAAAAGGGCTCTCTCTCAGGGTTCCTTTAGGGGCTCTTTTTCAGGGTTCCTTCAAGGGCTTTGTTATGGGTTCCTACGCCCTTTTGGTGTTCAGGACTTTATATAGGATGGTAGGATTCAGACCTCTTGCAGGGCTTCCATAAGGGCTCCGCGAGGGTTAAAGTCTTCGGGGGGAGGGGGCTTCAGGGTTTACGTTCTCACAACTCGGACATGCTCGGCGAGGTTCACAGGTACGAGGTCGGTGTGACACGGTAAGCAGCATCTGACCACAGCTACTCAAAGGATCACAGCCAAAACTAGATCCAAGCACTCCCCGGTCCGATCCCAATCAAGCGACTGCAGTTCTACATGTTGGTGGTCGAGGCCCAGAAGGGTCCAGGATGTAGGGTTTAGTAATTTAGGCTCTTGGGCTGCATATAAAGGACGGAACATGACCAGTAACAGCAGCACACCACTGTGGTGTCGATATCTTTAAGCTAACTCTGTTCATTAGATTCAGGGTCATCTTTGCAGGGCTGTGGGAATATGAGGTTTGGGGCTCAGCGCCTTAAATTTACGGTTTTGGGTGTCGACAGTAGTAGCACTGGCAGAACTCTGATGTTTTGCCCACCTGGCTGCTCTGCGTCATCTGGGAAGATGTCCGGCAGAAGGGCATCCTGAGGCAGATCTAACACAAGCATGCTCGACATCTGCACCGACCTCATTGGGAACCCGTATCATCGGAACGATTTTCAAGAATACAGAAATGAAGCATCATGGGGAATTGCAGTAGGGCTTTGGATTTCAGGCCGCCCAAGGATTCTTTAGCAGGGTTTTATGGGGCTTCGATTGGGTTCTGCAGGGTTGTAGCTGATATGTGAACCGTAACTCTTTTCATCATCTTCTTCCGCACTGGTACTACCTGTACTCTGCCACTTAAAAATTTCCTTGGTTACCACGTGGGTCCAGAAACATATGGGATGTAACAGCACTGAGACTGTAGGTAGCAGAAAGACGCTGTTTAACATCCGCCGTGAGTCAGGGGGCACATAGATATCCCAAAGCCGTACACACGAAATGCATGCTTCGGTGTTGCTGGAAACAAGGGGCCCCTAGTGTCTAACCCGAAAAATATCGAAAACTAGCAAGAACCTTGACACAAGGACCCCAACAAGAAACCCCTGCAACATCCCACACCCTATGGAACAGTTCTCGAAGCCATAGCATAGAGGCACAGACACTTGGATTCAGAAGAAGAGGCGCCACCCAAACACACCCAAATGTGGCCCCAGGCCCCTCATAAATCAAGGAAGGTAACCTAAGTCATCTTGGCGTTCAGGCTTTAGGCTCCTAAACCCTCCCTCCCTCCCTCTCTCTCTC